AGATAATCAAGCCGAATATAACAGTTGAGCGACCGTGCTAGAACCACGGAACTCGGAAATGCCTAACACCTTCTCCCGAGTTAACAGAATTCCTTATCTAGATTTCTGGTACGCAGACTGTAATATGGAGTCATTCTTTTCCTCGATTCGGGATTAAAATTGGTGACTTGGGACACCCTAAATCTCCCAAGTGGCGACTCTGAAATAAATAAATAAATCCCCTTTCGATTGTTCTTTAATTGGAAAAACTCCCCTGCCCCCTCTCGGGTGCGTAAAAAGGAGGTGTGACAGGCCTGTTGTTGTTTCATGTTGTTTCTCGAGGGGCTGTTCTTGATCCATGTTTTCCCAACGGGCGGTACTTGATTCATGTTATGCCTGAGGGGCTGGTTACGAGTGATTGTGAGGTAGCCCGAGGGGCTGATTCTGTTCATATTATGTCCGAGGGGCGGTTTATGGTACATGTTTTGCCCGATGGGCTTTTTACATTTTCTATCTTTTATACTCACTGTTTTATTACTCGTTTGAAAATATTGAAAGTTGTTTTAAAAAGTTTTTTTACTGAAACTGAGCTTGATTTACGAAGTAAATGATTCGTGTACTGCTTTGTAAAATGATCTACATTTGTTGTAGTGTTATGACGTGGTTTACGTGTTTTCTTACTGCTAAACTTTCATTTACTTTTATTACTTACTGGGTTGGCATAGTCACAGTACTCCCTGCACTTTGTGTGCAGATTTAGACATTTCTGAATCCAGTAGTGGGTGTTGATTGCTCAGTGGCAAAGTCATCGGAGTTAGCGAGGTAGTTGCCCGATGTTCGTAGCACTGCTTTTCTCACTCTTTTCTTCCTGAGATTGTATTTAGTATATTTTTAGACTCTTTGTTGTATTCAGACCTTAATAGATACTCGTGACTTGTGACACCCCGATGTCGGGCTTGTGTATTTATTCCGCACTGTTCATTTAGACTTACATTATGAGATATCTGATCAATTAAAGACTTAAAAATGATTGTTATTGATTAAATGGTTAATTCGAGGGTTGTGTCGGCTGGTCCAGTTTCACGATAGGTGTCATCACGACCGGGTCGGTTTTAGGGTCTTGAGAAAGAGATTTTTAAATGTAGGGGATTATGTGTAACTGATATGCTATATTTAAGGTATATTGCATTTCCTCTTTTTTATAATTTTGTATAAAACTAGTAAATATAGTTGTATAAAGTAATTAACAAGGAACCTAAATAAAGATAATAAATATGTTTCTACTATAGTATAACTAGGTAAAAATCCCTATGTTATATTACAAATTTTGGTTATTATTTGAAAAGGTTTAGAAGGGAGCAGGCCCATCACTTTTCTTATTGGCCACGTGAGGTGACCTAGAGACTTAAGCAATAAGGCAAATTGGTTTCTTAGTTTAAGAACATAAATTTCTATATTATAGAAGAAGAAGTTTTTCGACATGGCTGCTTAAGGTCATTAGTAACTTTTATTTGAGGGCATTTTAGTCTTTTCAGATATCTCCTTATATACGTGTCGCTAAAATATTTCCGCAAACCCTAAGTGTATTTGATTTCATTATAGCTGTCTGACAACTTCACTTTTTCCAATACCTTTACGTGTATTTGATATCATTACAGCTGTTTGACAACTTAACTTTTTCCTATATTTTTTTTGGTATTTACAATTCAGAGAGTACACCTTTTGTTTCCACCGTCTTCTTCCTATTTGTGTTCTTGCTCTCCAGATCTGTTTGTGTTCTTGCTGCAAGTATGTTTCTTCTTCAACTAATTCTGCACATATCTTCTTCTTTTTCCTTAATTCTTTTCTTTTTGGGTTTTCCCCGTCCTTTTTAGTTTTGCTATCCAATGGCTGTAGAATCCATTCATCTTCAACCTCAAACTTCATTGTATCTCGCTTTATCTCTCTTTCCCCCCCATTAGAAGCTTCATCCACTTGCAACAATTTCCCATTGTTGATCTTCTCTTTTGTAAAGCCTAAATGCTTCTCTATCTCAGTCCGATACTGACACTGATCTGGTTGATAAGCCTAATTAAGAAGAAATTTTTTTTGGGTAAAACCTCACATTGCTTAGTCTGGAGTTCTTTATCTTCTTTAGTTCTCTTCCAATGTTCCTTTCTTCAATTTCATCTCCCCTCTTCTGCTCTTTCATGGCTCTCTCACGGTAAACTATTACTGATTTTGTTTATCTGTGTCTGAATAACAGGAACGAGATTCAAGTTTTTGCACCATCTGCAGAAAGGCTTCAATTATTAGGTTTTAACTCAGGTAGTCTTCTTCAGTTTGATTCCTGTTTATTTTTCTTTTTATGCTGTAACCCTACCCCTATCATCAATTTCTCATTCTTGGTCTTCGTTCTGCATAGGATTTTGAAAGAAGGATTATTGTTTGCTGTAGCCTGTAAGCATTTGCTGCCTTTATTTCAACAGATATAAAACTTCAACGATGTGATAAATTTTTTCTCTTTTGTACTTAGATTTTTCTCCCGCTCATTGCTGCTATAAGTTTTAACTCTGTCTCCGCGTCTTTTGTTCTTGGGGGTGGTCCTATTAAATTCATAAGTTTAGGAAGAAAGCTTATCAAATAGAGATTTTTTCTTCGACCATATTTTAATTGTTAATACGATATATAAGGACTGCTAAATTCAAAGGCTATCATTAATTCAAGTTCTACCCCTGAAGTAGTTCAAATTCATGTCAGAAATCATTAAGTGGATAGTATAGTCAATTGGGCTCTAAGTATTCTATAGAGTCCCAACTTCTTGACGAGTCAATCTTTTAAAATCATTTATCGGATCTGACTAGCAACACACAAAGTTATTTATTTGATTTATGTACTACTGTAGGTTATAGCTGAAGATTTGACAACATAAATTCGCATTTTCATTATTGTGGGAGGGGGTGTAGGACGACAATATTATGGCGTTGCCATCAATGGTTGTATCTACTGATAGTATGAGAAAGTTGATAATTTATTTCAATGTTTTAATGGATCTTTAGTAATTTACTGATCCTATATCGCATTTAGACACATGTTAGCATTGATTTGAAGTAGGTGGTTGATCAAAGCTTTTCATCTTCAGAAGCTCTGTCGTTTTTAATTTGAAATTTTTTATTATAAAGAAGCTGATTTTTAGTTCGCTTATAAAGAATACCTACGTGGCTTCTACTCCTGCACCCACCTCACAGTCTCCTCATTCTTATCGCCTTCCTAAGTTTGCTCCTCTCTCTTTCATCGTAGATATGAGATTTCTTCTCTTTGTGCTCAATCCAAGTTCTACTTACTTTGATTTTAGCTTAGTTGATTTTGTAGGTTTGTTTTTGCTGCTATAGAGTAAGTTGGAGTGTTGTTCAATTTGTGAGAAACATTATGCAGCGGAAAAAGTCAGAAAGGACCAAGATTGATTGCTCAATGGACATGTCTCTCTAGATAATCGGGAAGAAAGCTTTAGCCTCTTTGCTTTGCTGTTCGAGTCATTTGGTGTGCAGTAAAGCTATGTGCTGCTAATTGCTTTTTACTATTATTTCTATATGTTGGTATAATACTGGTTCGGCCAACGACCACATTTAATTTTTTATGCATCCCTGGTCTTTTCCATCCTCCGAAGGTAAGAGAGAAAATAGGGAATTATCAACGAATGTCTGACACTTTTAGCGCGTGTAATTTTATCAGCCAGAGGATGAGAGATATAATTATAGAGAGAAACTTGAGGAATTTTCGTGGTNTTATCAGCCAGAGGATGTGAGATATAATTATAGAGAGAGACTTGAGGAATTTTGGTTGCAATTATTTGGCTTTTAGCCTTTCATTTCTTATTCACGAATGAAAGAAACTGATCTTCACGAATCAATTTAAAGTGGAAACTGAAAATTTGAATCCAGTATAAAGACTTTCAGATACTTCAAAGATATTCTTGGTCCTCTTTGTTCTCGAAGAAGCTCCTTGAGTTAACTGTATACAATCGTGTCTGATTTGCTAAATTTTTATGACTTTCTTTTACAATCTTTAGAGGAATCAATACTTTATTGTTTGTTAGATATCATCTAATGTCTTTGTTTGAAAGCAAGACTTTCATCAAACAGGTAAGAATCCCAATGGGGCCTCCTGAAAGTGACATCTCCTCATGCTGCTCTCGCATCAAGTCATTCAACCGGTACTTAAATTATTATTTTTTTGTAAATCCATCCCTAAAACTCTTTTATCTTGTATAGCGTATAACAATGCTAGAAAAATTACTCTTTGGGAATGTTAACAAACTCCTGCAGCTCTGAACTACTTCAGCTTACTATCTAGGTCGAATTTTTCATGGATATACATGACAAAGATGATAAGCTACCAATGGGAAAATCAATAAAGAAGTACCTTGAGATGTACTTGCTAAGAGAAAAAAAAAAAGAGANAAAAAAAAAAGAAGTACGAAGTCATGCACCAAGAAAATTTTGTAACCAAAGCAATGAGAAGCTCGTTAAGTAAAGCAAGTTTATGAGTCATAGCATGTTCTCTAAGAGATTTTATGGGTCACAATTGGCTAACTTCATATAGCATTAGCCATAAAGAGTTAGTAGCAAGATATCGACACCATAAGTAATTTACTGTGAATTATTTGCAATGCAATTAGTTTTTGCAAAATACCGAGTTATAAAAGTAATGTGCGCTGAGAGTAGTGTTAAATAAAAGTAAAATGTTTAAAACCCATTGATGNTAAAACCCATTGATCTTTAAAGAATGCTTGCCTTTTGGACTTCAAATGTGTCATTCTATAGCAGTCAAAATTTACTTATAAATACTGGAGATTTTTCTACCATGCTAAATTTCAATTTACCGAGTTTTTTAAATCAGGGGACGACTTAAAATTGTGATTTTGATAAATAGGTAAGGCTGGATTAGTGTACTGAGTTAGCCAAAGTTATCTTTTCTGTCTCAGTACTTACTAATGCTTACTACCATTTTTGAAGTCAAAGAGGAAAGAAAAAATATTAGAAGGAAGATTATAAAAGCTAACTTTCTATATTTTGGAATTCTGAATCTGAATAATAAAGAAAACTTTAGTTCTTTTGAGAATTAGTGATTTATTTAGTGATTGAGAGAACAAAACTAAGAAGGAAAAAATAAAAAGATGATTCCTCAAACTTTAATCTTTTTGTTCACTCTCTTTTGCCTTTAAGCCATGAAAGGTTGTGGTCATTTAAGCTAATTATGACTGTATATAGAATTATTTGAGTTGATATAATAAGAGTTCTGATTTCGAACTTGTGATTTTCTTTTTCTCATGTTGTGGTTTAAAAAAGCATGATAGAACTTCTTAAGATTAATAGTTATTACTTCTATTATGATTTTTTTCCTTCCTATATTTTAGTTTAAGCAAAGCATGAACAAACTTTCTCCTCTATTATTTCCTTAACTTGTTAAGAGTTTTATAAGCTCAAAGTGAGTACAGTGGTAGCACGTTAGTTTAGAAATTTCAACTTCAAAGTTGGGCTAAATTGCTTTGATGTTGTAGTAGAATGTGCATATATTATACGGCAGATAGGGACCTTCCACATGTTAGAAATTGAGCTACACGGACATTTTGTATTGATAAAGTTATAATGCTTCATTTGATTTTATTTTCTAACACAACCTTCTACTATGTATTATAAAATGCTCCATCTTTTAGTGATTATAATATTTCTGGGCACGATATTTTGTTGACCTTTTTAATGAAGAACCTAAGCAAATAAGTGTATGGATAGTTAGCAGGAACTTGTAAGTACAATGTTCAGTATTTTTAAAGGTTCCAATCACACTTTAAGCAACTGCCAATGTTATTGTTGCCTTGAGCAAAAGTAATTTGCTGAACTGTAGCTTTTTAATCCTCTGTTTTTTTTTTCTGAACTTTTCATGAAAAATGCTGCACTTTAAAATAGCAGCTTTCATATTTGATAGTACTTATGGTGTGACTCGTCCCACTGTACTAGCATGCTATGGTTAAAATTAATCTTCTTGGTTTAGGTACTTTTTGGTATATTTGCCCTTAGTTGCTATAGGTTCTTCAATTTTAAAATTAAAAAAAACTGTCCATTCCAAATTTAAAAAACTATCCATTTGCTGACTCCATCTGAGCCAAAATACCTTCTAAATTCACGCGAAAATAATTTTCTGTTTCATTATTCTTTTATATTATTATTATAATTCAAGACTAACTTTTATTCATATATGAGACTTTTTAAATAAACACGTGTTTATAAATGAACCACTTTATGATTTTTATCACGAATTACAAGTAAGAAAAAATTGAAGAGTGTACCGTCCTCCTTCAAGATCCATCATGTTTATTTTTCTTTTGTTAATGTTAGAGGGCACTTCTCTTCTCAAGAAAAAAATAAAATGTTAGAGGGCACTTATGTATCCTTGCACCCTTTGTTCTATTTATATGTTCGTTCATTCTTCCCCTTGAGGTAGTGGGTTACGTTGCACATACCTCAAACTCTTTTGAATGATTTTCTAAATCAATGATAGTCCCTTTTTTCCTTTTCTTCTGCTTTCCTTTTTCATTTACCTGGGAAATAAGTTAGTCCCCTTATATTGAATATTGACATTTGATCATCGCTTTCTGCTTCTATAGGTGCCATTATATATATTAAGGACTGCGAAGAAGACTAATTACAACATTGTAAATGTATCACTTTTAGTCAATATGTAAATATTATCCATGGATTTAAAGAATATGTCACCTTGCAAGGCAACATTCAAGGAGGGATATATATTTGTTCCTCTATGTATGTAAATAAATAACGTCCAATAGTTAATATGCAATGTCCTCTTTATCCAATTTGATAGTTATTTACTTGCATCAATTCTTATTATATGCAATTTTATGTTAAAAGAGATTTAATCAAAAATAAAAGTTTCAGAGTTTATATTATTGGGCCTGTGCTGGCCATCACTGTCTAGTAAAATAGATAGAAGAGCTTCTATCAGGAATTGACGGCACAATATTAGAACATCGGGTCGGGTGAGGGTTTCTTACAATTCCAGATTTGCAGGTATAGAAATTTAATGTAAGCATGAACATTGAATTTAACTTGTCTAGTTTAATAAACTACTCCCTCTGGTCCAAAATAAGTGATTTTTTGGCTGTTTTTTTGTGGTCCAAAATAAGTGATTTTTTCAGATTTTAAGAATGAATTAATTATTTTTTTTCTATATTGTTTTTGGAGTAAATAGTGTTGGAATATGTGTTAGGAGTATTTATGTGAGATAGTAAAGGTTAATATGGTCAATTCCATTGCTAATTAATGTTAAAAGGTAGATTTCTTAATTTGTGTGAAAACATTAAAAAAAAATCGCTTATTTTGGACCGGATGGAGTATTGTACAATGAATTAATGATTAGAAGTAAAGTAATGATAACATATAATGATTATGGACATGGATGAGTGGTATGTAGTAATTAGGGAGAAGATTGAAATTTCCAAAGATTGATAACTACTGCAAAAAGCAATTTGCGCTTTAAATAGGAAGCCACTGTACGAACCTTTATTCTTGAAGTATAGAAAGATTCTGACCGTTACTCTATCCGTAGATTCGAAGTATTAGATAATAGAAACTTATATTGAATAATGGTTTAGATTAAGATAACGGGCTATATATTTTCATTGAAGTGTAAATTAAGACTTAACTCGAAGCTTGAAAGTTAAGGAAATTGAAATTTGACCCGACTGCATAGTTGACATCGTTAATCAATATTTTGTATAGATTGAGGCCATTGGAGACAGTTTGTTTGGTGTTCTAGAAGCCGCAAGTTTGGAAAAAAGGAAATTTCCCATTGACGAGTAAATGAGATTTTAAGCTTTGATACTTACCTCTCCAAACCTGTTTTAAAAATATGTTTTGTCTGTCTGGTTCATGTGTTAGGACGAGCGTGCGCTTGGCACAATCGGTGGTCTTTGACCGTCGTAAATATATATTATTTTATAAAAAGCTTAAATTGTTTAATAGGTGATTTGTGGTGTAGTGTGATGTGGCGTAGCCTCGTGCTATGGTGTTGGGGCATTAGAAATTATTTCTTCGCTGCCGTAATATATATTGGGGCATTATGTATGCCGCTGTTATAGACTTGGAGCATTCTGTATGCTGCCTTTATAGACTTAGGGCATTATGTATGCCGTCGTTATAGATTTGGGGCATTGTGTATGTCGCCGTTATAAATTTGGGGCATTGTGTATGCCGCCGTAGTAGATTTGGGGCATTGTGTATGCTGTCGTGGACTCGTTGGAGGTATTTGGTTAATTTCCCGCACTGCCGTTAATGACAAGTCCTTAGTATAGATTGTGTTGGGATATATATAGTGTTGTTGTTGAATAATTGTTTGTATCTTATAGAGTAATTAAATGGTGAAAGAATTTTTGTGCATATTATTTCTGTGCTCTTTGTGTGTTTGTATTTTCTAACACTTGTTCCAGAGGTATTCAGAGCAGCGGGTCGAGGATCTTACTGGGTTATATTTACGTATAACTCACTCCTTACCTGCATGTCCATGCAGATACTGTGCTGAGAACGAAGCTAGTGATTAAGGAGTTCGCTGGAGCTGATTTAGTTATTGAGGTGAGCTGCCGCATTGTTCGTGGAGGTTGCAAAAAGAGTCTTAGTTATTTATTCATATGATGTCTTTTGTAATTCTCTTAGATGCTCCTTGATTTAGTGTGGGATTTGGGTTAGAATTTCATCATAATGTTTTAAGATATTAATTGTCCGTAATGGTTATCAGATTATTTGGAGACTTATTTCGTTAATCAAATACTACAAATTAATGCCTAAGGTATGAAGATATGGTTCGTCTGGCGGGTGGTGTTAGTTGGGTGTCAGTCACGTCTAGGGTGTAGTTTCGGACGTGACAGTTCTTTATTTGAAATTGCTATCCTTGAAATATCTTACTGTTGAGTTTGGTGCTGAGTTGCAAAGGACGTGGTTTCTATTAAATCAAGGCGTAAGTTGTGAATATCATTTTCTTTAGTTGTTATATTTTGGCATTTGTGTTATTGTTGAGGTGATTGTTTGGTTGTTTTGCACGAGGTTTCTGCCATGCTATTGTTATTGTTTGCATGAGGTTTTTTCCATGCTGTTGTTACTATTTGCATCGAGGTTTCTGTCGTGCCATTGTTATTATTGATACACATGCGATGGTATAAGGTCTGGGTGTTGAAATGCATGTCATGAGATAAGGTGGGCTTGATATGCGTGGCTAATAGGGGAACTACTAGAAGTCATGCAGTGTGATAAGGTGGGGTAAAACGCAGGGTGCTATTTCAGGAAAAATAATTTTCAAAACTAAATCTAAAGGCCCCCGTGGTGAGAAAGGAACGATTGTGAGTTACTTTTTTGATTTGGGACGACGAGGCGGTACCTCAGGAGTGCCCCTATTGATCTTCTCTATTTGTTGTATTAGTTTGGTTGTTGTTTCCTTAACATGTAAAATCCTTGTTTTCCCTTCGTGTTGTATGAACTGCCTTCTTTTCGTGTTGTTACTTTTCGTAAATTCTTTATTGTGTCACTTCTTTGTCATTATCATTATATCATTATGTCTTCTGTCTTATTTCTTATTATCTCTAGTAGGGCCTTGGCCTGACCTCATCACTACTCTATCGAGGTCAGGCGTGGCACTTATTTGGTACCGTTGTTGTGTACTCATACTACGCTTCTTCACATGTTTTTGTGCAGATCCAGTTACATCTTATATGTCCCGGTATTAGCACATTGAGTTGCTTATTTTAGAGACTTCAAGGCACACCTGCCCGCGTCCGTAGGACTCGGAGTCCCCTTCTACCCTGTTCTTCCTTATTTCTTTACATTTTGATAGACAGTGATGCATCGTATTGTTTAGTAGTGTATCTAGAGCTTGTGACTTATATCTCACCGGGTTTTGGGGAATTGTACGTATCGAGCTTATAGTTTGTATTTATAAAATTGTTGAAGTTTTGAAATTCTATGTTTTATTTAATGTTTACGCATGTTGTTAGACTAGGCGTCGTCACGACATTCTACATAGGGATTTGGGGTCGTGACAAGTTGGTAATAGCTCTAGGTTCACAGTTGTTATGAGTCACAAGTGGATTTAGTAGAGTTCTCGCGAATTAGTACGAAGATGTCTGTACTTATCTTCGGGAGGCTATGGAACTGTTAGGAAAAGCTTCTCTTCTTTGATTCCTAATCATGCAAAATTTTGACTTCGGATTCCAAATTTTTGTCTTTCTATTCTATCATAGATAGTGAGGACACGTATAACTGGATCAGATGACTAGACACACGCGCCCACAGTTAGAGCCCGCGAAAGGCCAGGGTAGAGGCAGAGGACGTCCACATGGTGAAGTCAAAGCACTTGCACAAGCTGCTACAAAGGAGCCCCCAGTAGCTCCCGTTGGAGAACATGCACCTGAGAGGCCTGTTACTGTACCAACACTTCAGGAGGCTCTCACCCAGTTTCTGAGAATGTTCGGCACTTTAGCTCATGGAGGGTTGATCCCACTTGCTCCTTCTACATTTGAGGCCGGGGGAGGAGCATACACTCCCACCGCCCGTACCCTAGAGCAACGAGTCCAGGTTGACCAAGTCCCAGAGGTCATACTAGTACATCCGGTTGCCCCAGTTCAACCGAAAGTTATGGCAGCAGTTTCTGATGGGGGGGTAGCTCAGGCTCGAGAGGTACAAGAAGTACCACCCTCCTACTTTCAGCGGGTTGGCGTCAGAGGATGCCCATGGTTTTCTTGAGGAGTGCTAATGTATCCTCCATGCTATGGGTATTATGGAGTCTAATGGGGTTGCTTTGACTACGTTCCAACTTAAGGGGGCGACTTATCAGTGGTGGCGAGCATATGAGATGGGTAGTCCAGCCTAGGCAACTTTACTCACTTGGACTCAGTTCTCAAATATGATCTTGAGGGAGTTTGTTCTCTAGAGTCTCAAAGATGCATGACGCGCAGAGTTTGAGCAGTTGCAAAAGGGTTGTATGACCGTGTCGGAGTATGTAGTCTGGTTTGGTGATTTGGCTAGGCATGAACCAGCCTTTGTTGTTGTTCCTAGAGAGTGAGTCCATCGATTTAACGAGGAGCTCAACCTCGGTATCAGATTTAGCATGGTGCGAGAGTTGGAGATGGATATTGTATACGAGCAAGTAGTTGGGATCGCTAGGAGAATGGAGGTTTTGTGGACCCGAGAGAGAGAGGAGAGGGAGGCCAAGAGGCCTCGAGATTCTTGCAAATATAGTGGTACCCGTGACCTAGTTGCAACTCGTCATGGTAGGGGCTATGTGAGTCGCCTTGTTCATTTAGCAGTTCTAGCTTCCAGTGGTATTCCGGCCACTCCTAGGCCTCATGCTGTTTATTATCCACCGCCATTGTCTAGTGCACCTCCTGCATGGGGTGCTTTCAGTAGTTAGTCCAGCCGATCAGGACCGAGATAGCCACATCAACAACGTCCTCTAAGAGCTTGTTTTGAGTGTGGTGACACTCGTCATATTGTTAGGGATTTCCCTAGACTCAGGAGTGATACACCTCCACAGACTATTCAGGTTCCGCGTGTTCCACCGGGTCCTCAGGCCATGGTTACCGCACCAGCTGCCACTCCAGCTACACAGCCAGCCAGAGGTGGGGGTCGAGAAGGTAGAGGTCGCCCTAGAGGGGGAGGCCAGGCCAGATATTATGCTCTTACTACTAGGACGAAGGCAGTTGCATCTGACTCTGTCATCACAGGTATTGTTTTGTTCTGCCATAGAGATGCATCGGTCTTATTTGATCCAGGCTCCACTTATTCATATGTATCATCTTATTTTGCTCTGTATTTGGATGT